CGGGGTGGGCCCAGACCGACCAGCAGCATCACTCGCAGGCCAAAGCAAGGCTGTCTTGCCAAGGATGTGAGTATCCACAGGCTGGGCCAGCATAACTGGCCAAGCCAGCTGGCTCCATCTGAAAACCAGGGGAAATCATCCATTGCCCCAGCCCACAGAGTGTTCAGGCCCAAAGGAGGCTGGAGAAGTCTGCCCTGTGATGGGTTTAAGGTTCAGAGTTATTCTTATCCCCTTGCTGTGCCTCAGCTCCTCTCCTGCACCTGCAAAATAAAAACCCAAACCAGCAAGAAAAAAAGGCTGGAGAAAGTTGGGTTTCCTCTTGTCAGTTCTACTTTCTCAGTGTGCCATCCTCACAATTTTTTTCCTGGGGCTCTGCAAACTTGTCCTTTCCTCTATTGCTTTTTAATGATATTCCAAAGATACTGATGGTTGTCTTTCTCTCCTTCCCTGCCCCCAGCTTGCACGCTACACCAAGGAGGGATTCCTTCATCTCGGCGCCCTCGGGACCACGACTCTTCTACCGGATACCCGCTGCCTGGTGGATAACGTGAAAAGCCGCTTCCCTCAGCTCCTTGATTGCGAGAAGGTCAAGAGCAGCCTCCATAAGCGCTGGAATTTTATACAGGTTTGTAACGCGTCTGCTATCGATGCTGCTCCTCTGCTTCCAAACTGTGGGTTGTGGCACGTGGTGTTTGACATGAGATGCTGTAGGAGAAGACGAAATGGTCCCATACAACAGCAGGTGCCAGGTCCTAGGGCAGAGGGAAAAGGTTAAGAGGGATCAGGGGCAGCGACAATATTTTAGGACAATTTCCAGTAGAAGTTTCCCTTTCTGATACTCTCACGTGCCCTGCTGATGATTTCCAGATTTCTTTGTTTCTTACAGATAATCTGTGGTGTAATACAAGCAATTTTGCCCAAAGCAGGGTGTAAATAATATATGTTCTACAGAAGTGCTGCACCTTCCTAACACAGGGGTGTAGCTGTGCTGTTTAAAGGTTACAGATGTCCTTTGCTTGCTGACGTGTTGGGGATCCATGTTGTTAGTGATACAGGTTGCTCATTCAATTCACATTGATTGTTTTAGGAATTATTTTATTGTTTGAATTGCATTACCGCCCAGCTAAGTGCTGTGCACTTCCCAGCAATGCACAAGGACACAGCTGCACTCCTGGGCAGCACACGGTCCTGGCTTGCTTCACAAGTCTTTAATTTTTTTTAATATTTTCCCCATAACCTTTAATTTTAGAATGGTGCCATCCTGAACAAGGGAACGGGACGATGCTTGGAAGTGGAGAACAGGGGAATGGCCGGCATCGATCTGATTCTTCGCAGCTGCACAGGACAAAGGTGGACGATTAAAAATTTCATCAAGTAAAGGGTGGAAAAGTCAGAGAAGTTTGACTCGAAACAGGGCTGACTTGGACTGATCTGACTGGACTCCTTTGAAAAGGACAAAATATCAAAACAGAGCTTTATTCATGTTATTAGGAGAGGACATGGGGGAAATGGGCATTTGTGTCTATTTTTATTGTGTATTAGTCTCCCACAGCTGATTCCAACTGTGTGAAATTGGGTCAGAACTGCTATTTTCTTCTAGCAAGCACTCTAAAAGGTACCACTTATTTCTGCTGGAATGACTGTAATAAGCTCATGCAGTCTTGTGAGCATTTTACTGACGGAATTTTTGCTTTCCCAGGCGACTCCAAGCTTTCCTAAAGGGCCACCACGATCGGAGTCGAGAGAACCTGGATATACCTGCCTGGCAAGCATGAAAACTTACATGCTTGTGAGAGGAAAAGGTTGCCAAGCCCCAAATGAGCTGAGTTTGAAAGATGTGCTGTTTTGCTAGATCCTCTCTCTGTTTTCCCTTTCTTGCCCCTGCATCTAGCAGCCCCTTTCTGGAGTCTGGGAGAGGCAAAACCCACTCTGGTAGCTCCTGTGGATCTTTCCAGCCCTTAATCACAGATGTCATCAAACAAAATCCTATTGAATAAAAACACTGATCTCCCATTGGCCCCTGTCCCTTGCCGGTGGCCAAGTTAGCCCCATGCAGCACAAGTCCCACCCATGGAGACCCCAAATGGGTTCCCTTTGGAAAAGACCTTGGATGTCTGCCTGCCTGTTTGGGCAGTTGCCTGCCCTTTTGGGTGTCAGCTGGACTCGTGCAGGGTGAATAAGGTTTGCAGGATGCTTCCTGCCCCACGGGAGCCTGGGGAGCTGCAGATCCACCTTGCCCTCCCAGCAGGGCTGTTGGCCTGACACTACCCCTTGGAGACCCACCTTTTACTGTTTTTTTGCTCTTTTCTTGTAGAAGTGAGGATGGATGCTCTGGTGTGTGCAACAGGCCGAGAGCAGGTAATGTGAGAGAAAGTCCTGCTCGGGCTTCCCTCCCATGGAGGCTATAGGGTTTGGTTCTAAGGCATCCTTGCTCTGAACAAAGACATCAGTAATGGTAGTCTCTGTAACTTTGTAGTGGTGTTCTCTTCCCAAAGCTCGAGCACACCTATCCTGCCTGGTCAGTGTGTGACTGTGGTCAAGGTCTACCCCAAACAGTGCATGTTGCTGCAGACCTTCATGAGCTATGGTGAAGTAAGGAAAGGGAAAGGCAGGGCAAGAGACCAATAAATGGCAGTTTGGCTGAAATTCTTGACCTTGAAGTTACTTGATGCTTGTTAATACGGTAGAGTGATCTCACCTGCTTTTTTGGGCCCACAGTAATCTTGGCTACCAAATTTACCCAGCCATCATAGGAGGCTGTTGTTTTGGGGTCCTGATGTCTGGCTACATGGAAAAGGGAAATGTGGTCTTGCAAAGTTGCTTTACATCGATGCTAGACTAATGGGTGGATACAGGCTTCAGTCACTGGAGAGGAGAATCCAGCCCATCTCCTGTCCTTCTCACAGAATAATACTCTTTCTGGTTGCCCTCTGGCTAGGGTGCTCTAAAATATATTAATATATGAGATGTACGTGTAAATATGTTTCCCAAAGACGGGATGTGCACAGAGTTGTTTGCTGCAGAGTACTCATGCCTGTCTTCCATTTGCATCAGGATGAAGCTACCTGGATGTTTAATGAGTTTAATTTTCAATGCCATGCAGCAGGTTTATAACTGATGTTTTAGTAATTTATTGAACAGAAGCAGATATATTTCGTTGTTCCTTCTACAGCAATGAGTGTCACATAGGACTGATTGTTCGTTTAGGCTTCACAAGACTTCTTCATCCACTGGGGTTGTCTCTTGATTTTTTTCCTTTGCCTTCCTTAATGAAGTAAAACCTCTTAGTTGTCCTGAATTGCAAAGTAGGGAGTCAATGTAGAATTTTGCTCTCTTATTCGCTGTTGCATCATCTCTTGTGTAATAAATTTTAGCACTTATAAAACAAATATGATCACAATGTCTTTAGGTGCATGATGTGTTTCCCCTTGCATTTGTTGCTGCCTTCTAAAAAAAGCAATTTACTGATGAAGTGGACTCCAGGAAAGTCTGGGGCATTTGAGACGTCACAGCCAATGGTCAAAATGGTAAAATGCCCTTTAATTGAGCAATCAGCTTGCTGTCAGTCATCAGTGGAAGCCAGATATTGTTTAGTGTTGGGAAAAGCCTGCATGTTTCAGGATAAACAACCAAAAAGCCCTTGGATGTTGCCTGTGCTATAATTCACGGTTCCCTGTCCAGCTCTAGTCCTGCCAGTGCTCAGGGCCCAAACAGATGGGCTTTGTCAGATTTAATCGTGGTGGTATAAGGTGTCACTGCCCCCAGCCTTCCATCTGCTTCAGCTGCTGGAGGTTTCTGTCCCCGTCACCGGCAGCAGCAATGAATGTCTGGCTACACCTCGGCTACCGTAATTGGCAGGACGTGCTTCAGCCACCAGGCAGGAGGGACTTGCTCTGTTTAACGCACCGGATTGTCAACCAAAGTCACTCTGGGACGTCCACGCGGCTCCGCTGGGGAGGCAGCAGCCCCTGGCAGAAGCGGGGTGCACCACCGAGCATCTCCAGCTGCCTGGTGGCATTTGTGCTGCCTGTTGGAGGTGGTGCATGTGCGCTTGGGAGCTTGTCGTCAGGTGACACGAGATGACCTGGCCATGAGGACCCTGCTGGTGATGGGCTCTTTGATCCTTTAAAATATTAACGTTCAGAGATGCCTTTCCTTCATGCTCCATAAGGAAAACAAATGCCTGAATATCCAAAAGGAAGGGAACAGTGGAAATGAACACTTTGCTCCAGGACCCTCAGGTGGGGCAGAAACCCTGCTGAGGCGGTTTGCCCATTCTCACTGGTGTACATAGAGTGCTTTCAAATGACTGAAAAGAAGCAGCATGAGTAAAATCAGGATTAAAAGTGAGAATTTAATCTGCTGTGTCCGTGTAACTGCAGTTCTGTTCTGACGTTGGTTTGTGACATGCGGAGATGATTGCCGAGGCGACGACCCAAGGTCTGCACCCTCCTAAACCGTAGAAATCTGTCTTAGAAATCTGGATCTGTTGCATCTTGTGCTTATCTCTAATAATATGTTAATTGCTTTAAAAAGTGATATCGAAGTGGTTCTTATTAAATATATGATTTGAGCCTTGCCTCTTGAGTGATTTTAAAAAGATTCACTGCTGATGAGATACAGAGGCAGTCATTCTTCTCTGTTACTTATTTAATAGAAAAGTGCTGCTGTTTTAATGGAACTTCCATTTTAAAAAGAAATGGAAATGAAGGAGAAATCAAGAGAGATGGCCGATGCAGATTAACCTCCTGTTTCATCCATCCCTGCCAGCTGCCACTCACCAAGATAATGCAGTTACATTCAAGAAGCTAAAAAGAGACATTTCATAGTAAAAAAGCATCGCTTGCGAATGCGTTCCTGTACCCAGCCTGGGCGTTTCTGAATGTTACCTGAAGCTTGAGGCCCTCCTTAGACCCACTTTCTTACATCCACATTCTCCTAAAGAACAGGTTGGCCAGTGATGTGGTGTCCCCGTAAGGAAGCGAGGTGTGGTTAGGTACGTTTGTGTGCAGGAGGGAAGTGTATCTGTAGGTGCACCGTGTAATAAGGTCACAGTTGCAGTTCTCCTGACAGAAGCATCAGCTCTCCCACCCGAGCTGAGGACCCAAAGCTGTTAGCATCAGTCCAGGTAAGTGGGGCCTTCAACCTGGGTGGGCCCGTTTGGGCAGAGTGTGGTGGAGCTCCGTCATGGAGTGACCTGTTTGCAGCCACAGGTCTCTTGAAGGGTGACACAAGATGAAAACCTGTGCTCTTGGCTTGTGCATTATACATGCTCAAGACTTTCGAAGGGGAAAGGTCCAGGTTAGAAAACGGTACGATCCGATGTGCTTTACGGCGGATTGAAGTCAAAAGTGAGCTTTTACTGTTCTGATGCCCTTAGCAGGACCTTTGTGCTGCCCAGGGCAGAAAGCCAAACTGTCAGAAAGCTCCCTCTAAGCCCTCAGGAGAAGGTAAACTGCAGTCATTTCAAAGTCAAAAGTTTGACTCGTGGACTCTCAATAGAAAAGCCTCTGTGCTTGGTCACTGAGCAGTTTGGGCACTCATCCACTTCTAGTAGAGACAGGTAGAAGCACTCCACTATGCAGTGTGAAATTAGGCATTTGAAATCTCTGCAGCTCATGTTTGTAGACGAGAAACCATCTTGCATTGGACTGAGGAGTGGGAAAAGCATATATGACCATTAGGAATCTCAGCTGGATTCCCAAGGACATGGGGTTGAAGTATTAAGGGCCCTTCCCTGTCACTGCTGAATGAAAGTGATCTGTAGATTCTCCTTTAAACGTCAGAAAAACTTTGTGCCAGCTTTAGGGACATAAACTTTTCCAGCCCCACCAGTCTGGTGCCAGAAAGGTGAGGGGCTGTGCTCTTCTGCATTTGTACTGGAAGGCCAAGACCTTGTAGGTGAGCTGATCCTGTGTATTGGGAGGAGGTGGTTCCTGGAATCACTGTTCTCATAAATCGAAAAATTCCCCAAATTATTAATGGCTTTAAATCTCTTCCTACAGGCAGGAAGCCAGTGAAGTTGCTCAGCTCATTCAGTTTTTCAGCTAAGTCAGCGCTGGTGGGACTGGGATCTCAGCTGCGCCTTTTGCTTAGAAGCAGTGACAGCATCCTTCTAGCAACATACTCAAATAAAATAACATAGCAGAAATGACGAGTTTGAAATCCCAGCTCAGCGGTCTCCAGTTATCTAGGATATCTTGTCAAGAGCAAGTGGGTTAAGGTCACGTCCCATGAGGATTACTGGGATAAATACCTGCCGATGGCTCAGCTGGGTGCAGCAGCTGGCGCTGTCTGTGGCTCCTCACGCCAGGGAGGTCTCACCTGTGGGCTGAGGTAGGAATTTATGGCAGAAATAAAAGGGTCGGTTCCTGTTTACAGGACTGCTAAGTTTGCGTTACTCATGCGAGCCTCAGCTGAGAATTTGGCCTGAGTGCTTTGGCTTGCACTTGGAGCTGAAATACCTGCACGCTGGTTGTGCTCAAGGCAGTGCTATTTATTGGGAAAATAATAACCTAGGCATCAGCTCCAGGGTCTCCTAAACTACTAAATATTTATATTGAAGGCATGCAGGAATTGCTACCTAGAACAGCCATCCCGATCCTCTGTGTCAAGTGTTGTTCCTCTGACAGAAGGCAAAATAACAAGAAGAAAGATTGTGCAACCCAGAGAGCTTTCCAGAGGAGGAGTTTCCTATTTTATTCCCATCTGGTGGC